CATGATCAATTTTAAATGATAGTTTACTAACAAACAAATATTTATTGGTAATATTAATTTCATCGATTGTGAAGAAGTCCGCAGTCCAAAAAACACCAGTACTCCCAGTAACTGCTGAAAACTCCAAATAATTTCAAGCGAACCCTCTTGTAATTGGCTGATATATGGGTCAATATCAGATGATATTGGCTGCAGATAATCCCTGATGTAGTACCAAAGCTAAGTCTGTGATTGGTTGATCTGTGTAGATAGTTGCATGATGAAGGCATGTATATTTGTTTCAAAATGAAGGAGACTGTTGCCACAACAGATGAAGGTCATGGCAAACCCACAAAATTTATAACAATCTGGGCTCATTTACAAGATCATGGGCTTGGACATATTTCAGCTTTTACAAACATGAAGAAAAACCGTCATGTTAGAATTATGTTATCAAAGATTGCTTGGATATGAGCAAGGCACAGAAAAACAGCTTGGTGGAAAGCAAAAAATGATGATAAATGATTTTCTGACTAGGAGAATGCAATTAGTAATAACAGTAGGATCTCTCAGTGGATCTAATTCATCTCCTTTGTAGTTTATTATACATATTAATGGATTATATATCTTCTTAGACTGCAATATTTAATCTAGTGAAAATACCATAAAAGAAAATCAACATGCTTTTATCAAAGGGCAAAGTTTTCTTGCTAATCTGTTAATCAGTTTTAAGAATATTGTACTTGATGTACTTATAGATTTTTAAAAAGGTTTTGATAAGGTTACACACAAGAGAATAGCTAAGAAAATCGCATCAGTGGGGGTTAGTGAAAAACTAGTAAACTTCACTGTAAAATGGCTAAGTGAAAGCAAAAAAGTATTAATAAAGTCTAGTCAATGTGGATCCTGGTTAATGTTGTAATGCCTCTGGAACTGGTGCTTGGGCCTTTGATTTTTCTTATTTTACATTAATGATATTGATATGGTCATAATCCATAAAGTAGTAAAGTTTCAGATGATATTACAATCTTTGATATTTCTAGCTGTATTGAGAATTTTAATGCAGTACAATATAACCTCAATCAATTGTTTAGTTGGAAAAATACTTGGCAAATGATCTTTTACTATAAAAATTCAAAACAATGCATTTAAATTATCATAATTTTGAAAACACATTTAATATAGATGGTATCTCACTCAACAGCATGACTGAAGAAAAGGATATTGGGATAGTGATTGATAAACAAATAAAGCCACTGAAGCAGTAATCTGTTGAAAGAAGAGCTAATTTACAAATCACTAGACAGGCACCACTTGGAATACTGTGCACAATTTTGGTCTCCACACTTAAGAAAGGATACTGACTTGTTATAAAGAGCTCAGAATAGGGTTACTAGGATAATTCTTGAAACAAGAGGGTTAAGATATCTTATTTTCTGTTATGCAAATTTAGATGATTATATAATATAATGTTTTGGGAGAAAATGGGACCTGTTGGTCCATCTCGGCTGTTCCATCATCTACACTAAATTAAAATAATTTTTAAAAATAAAATAAATAAATAAAAAATCTTAAAACCAGCCCTTATCATTCATATACTTATCACACATTTTCTTAAACTCACTTAAATTTACAGCCTCTACAACATCCAAAGGCCAACCACTCTGTTAGAAAAATGAAACTGTCTTAGCTGAAGATGACTCCTACCTTCCCAAAATGTATGTGTGTCCATTAGTCCTACTATTCTCACTGTTAAATATGAAAAAAAAAAGATGATACATCAACACTATCATTTCCCTTTACAATCTTAAACACCTCAATCAGATCCTCCATAACTCTTCCTTTTCAAGAGAAAACAATTTGAGAGATTTCAGCCTCTCCTCCTATGACAACCCCTCCATCCCAGGCACCATTCTAGTAACCCTTCTCTGAAACCTTTCCAACAATTCAATGTCTTTGCTAAGGTAAGGAGCTCATCACTAAACATAGTATTCCAAATGTGGCCTAACCAGCGATCTATACAATGAAATTATAACCTCTTTAGACTTGTATTCAATATTTCTGTAGATACAACCTAAAATCCTTTTTACCCTACCACTAGCAACAGCTTGGATGGCTTTAGGGACTGATCGACTATTACACCAAGATTCCTTTTCTTCATAACACTGTTAAGGTTATTCCCATCCAAATTATACATATAATTCAAATTATAACCTACACGCATTATATTGCACTTATTATAATTAAAACTCATCTGCCTTTTATTTGCCCAACTCACTAAATGATCTATATCCTTTTGTAAATCATCAGCAGCATCCTCTTCCCAGCTAGCAAACACCAAGACCTTAATATCATCTGTAAATTTAAGTAATCTATTGACTATTCCTTCATCTATGTCATTGATGTAAATAAAAAAGATCAAAGGTCCTAAGACTGAGCCCTGAGGTGCCCCACTTGTGACATTAATCCAGTTTAGTTGAACTCCATTTGTAATAACCCTCTGCTTTCTTCCATCCAGCCACTCTTCTATTCAATTTTCTAACTTATCTCCCACATCTACAGAGATAATGTTTCTACAAGCCTTTTATACGGCACCCTGTCAAATGCTTTGTGAAAATCCAAAACACTAAATCTACACCCATACCCTCATCTACAAAAGTAACAACCTTTGCAAAGAATGTCAAAAGATTTATAAGGCAAGATTTTTCCTCAGTGAAACCATGTTGACTATCCAATAAAATTATAAACTTTGTTAAATGACTTTGCAAAGCATCTTTTAACAGACTTTCCAAAACATTTCTCACAACTGATGCAAGACTAATGGGTCTATAATTACTGGGACAATTTTTATCACCTCCCTTGAAAAGAGAAGTTACATTAGCTAACTTCCAATCCTCTGGTACTTGCCCACTATTCAAGCACTGACAAAAAATAGTAGTAAGTGGCTCACATATCCAATCTTTAACCTCCTCCAAAACCCTTGGGGAAATATTATCTGGCCCAGGAGCCTTATCATTTTTTAAACTTTCCAATTTTTTCTTAATCAGCTCAGAATTAATGCAGTCATATTGTTTGATCTCGTTTCAATTTGTCAACTATTCAAGACGTGGATTACTGCTTAAATCTTCGTTAGTAAAAACTGAAGAAAAAGCAAAATTTAATAACCTGGCCATCTCATAATAATCAGATACTAGCCTTCCTTTATCATCCCTCAAGGGTCCTACCCCCATCCTAACATTTTGTTTACCCTTAATGTATTTAAATAAATCCTTACTGTTAATTTTTACATTTTCAATCAAACTTTTCTCATACGTCCTTTTTGATATCCCAATTTCCTGTTTCACCAACTTTCTTGATCTTCTATCATCTCCTGTCATAC